ACCTCAACCCTAACCCTATCCAACTCTTGAGCTAGAGTGTCGCAAGTATGCTCCGACTCCACTACCTTTTCCTCTGCAACAAAGAGTCGTTGTGTCACCTCAATTATTTTCCTCTCAATGTCGGCGAGGGCCGCACTTAGCTTCTCAGCGCCCACCCTCGTCACCTCATTATCCTTCAGCTGCTGCTCAATTTGGGCCGCCTAGGCTGACAGCATATTATCCCAGGTGGCCACCTCCTCCCTGGCCCCTACAAGGGCCGTTTCGACCTCGGCCTTCCCCTTCTCGGCCTGCTAAAGATTCTGTCTCTGCTCATGGTAACGTGCAGCAATGATCGACACTTGTTGGGTAGCCTGTGGAAGGGAAGGATAAACAGTTACACGGAGGATAGGGAGTTGACAAAGAGTTAAGAGAATTAAACCTTACCACCAGGGAGTGCTGAATGATTAAACAGAACAGCTAGTTGATCGTTCGCTCCCGGTGTACCTCCATATCAGCCCCAAAATGGAGCGTTTCGCTCACGGCATAGGGCACGTGAGGATCACTGATAATAGAGTCATTAACCTGAATCGCCCTGTTCATTCGATCTCGGGCCAGGGGTGCCACTCCTCAGCTAGTGGTGTCGGCACTAGAGGAGGAGGGGGAGTTTGCCCGTATTGTTGTTGTGGGCCTCGGCCTGCTCCATCATGTTTTTGCTTGGTCCTCCTTTCCTCTTCGATCTGGGGGTCTCGATCACGGACTAGCCCCCGACCAGAGGACCTTGGAGGAGGAGGGAGAACATTGGTGCGGGACCTTGGAGGAGGAGAGGAAACATTAGTGCTGGCTCTTGGAGGGGGAGGGGAATGTTGCTTGCAGACCCAGATCCCCTGCTGCTTAGAGCAGACCTCTGATTCAAAAAAATTCAGGTTGATGTGAGGTTGACGCGACATCGCAGCCTTGAGAGCGTCTTCCTGGTCCAAACTTTGCAAAATATTGACGTCCAACCAAACTTCCCTTTCAGTCGTGCTAGTCTCGGGGTGAGTTGTGGTGGAGGATTCTCTAACTTTAGCAACCGCTTCTCCTGCTACCCCTCTACCTCGGCCTCTATGACTCTATCAGGGTCCTCTTCCAAATTTTGTTCGAAGTCCTACTCCGCTGTTTGCTCAAAGAATTCGGACCACCTGGAGGGATCATATGGTTAAGGAAGTTGAGAAAATTTCTTATAACTGGGGACGTAGTCCAAGAGCACGTGTTCCGCTCTGCCAAATTCGTCGCCGATGTACCCCCAGACAGTTACTATGTCGGCAAAGTTAACAAGGTGCTGAGGAGGGGGAGTAGCCTCTCAAGATAAAACGTCTACACAAAAGAAAGAAGATCGTCAACACTTTGTTACCTAAACATCAGAAAGGAAACTGAGAAGGGAAGGGGAACCTGACGTACTTGTTCTTCGTCACTCCCTAGGGCAGGACAGATCGTCATATTCTGGGCCGACGCAGCTCTCCTAGGCTTCACTGAAGACCAATAGGTCATCCTTGTACCCCTTGTCGGAATCAGGGAGGTGAGTGACGAGGTATATTGAGGTGTCCCAGGCTTTGAATTAGAAGGCTCCCTAGGGCTTCACTCTCATCAAGGCATAGTAGAAGAGGATATCCTCGAGGCCTAAGTTGACCCTGAGGAGCCTATTGAGTTCCATTACTCCCATGATTATCCTAAAAGTGTTGAGGGCACATTGCCCTGGGAAGAGGCGGAACCTAGAAAGGAACTGAAGGAGCAGTGGATGGAGGGGGAATCTAATTCCTCCCTCCATAATTGCCTTGGTATAGAAAGGCATAACATCCTCGACGCTGACGTCGAGATGATGACGGGCTGGGTCAAAATCATCAACGACAACACTACGGGGGATATCATAATGGGCTTTGATGTTTGTTATTTGCTGAGAGCCCTTAACTGTCCATTTCCTCGACCTTGAGGTCCCAGCCACTTGGGCCTTAGCCACAAGTTGACGTCTCGGCATCTCAAACAGAAAGGAGGTGAAGTTCAAAGGGTTCTTTCTTTAAAAAAGGAATCCTAAGGGACACTAGAAAATACGAAGCAATGAAGGAGAAGTCTAAGGGACTAATCCTGGGGCCTAGTCTCTTAGAACTAAGACGATGGGGACCTAGAAGGTGGCCAGTGGTTGAAAAAAACCAAAAAAGGAACGAAGACTCACCGGAAACTATTGGGAAGGTGAACTGAGGGATTGAAGAAGCTTGGGAATGTTTTTTCTTCTTCGATAATGGAAGAAAAATGGGTTGTGGCTCTTCAGGAAGTAAGACTCCGATGTTTCTTCGGCCAGAAGATCTCTGAAGAAGACTCAAGATTTTGAAAAGTGAAGAATGGGGGGGAAGCTCTGTTTATATAGGCCCTGCCCCCCATCATTGTGCATGAAACACAATGACAAGTGCATTCAATGCGCACGATCTTCAAAAGGCAAAAAACGGCTAGAGCAATGACAGGGCAGTTAAGCCCTTTCACCTTCCAAACGACGCTTGTCTTTTTCGTACGAAGATCAAAGGGCTGGGGACAGTTGATGGGACACTTCTAGGAGGCTATTGGATTGACGACACATGTCCTCTATGCCAAGGCACATATTTGCCTCTGACGAATCCATGTGTCTCAATGTCGAGGAACCTCTTTGTACTGCTGAAGCCACATGCCCTCGACACCAAGTCCCCTTTGCTCTATGGACATGTTCCTCGGCGCCAAAGCATATGCCTTCCCACCCGGGTGGAAATAGGTGTCCTCGGCCCCAGGGATGCTCTCATCATGCCTACCCCAAGTCTTCAGCTTCTAGCGAGGGTACTGATTGACAACTAAACAATCTAAACTAGACTAGGAGTCAGGAGGGCACTCTGCACAATGGAGTCAGAATGGTAGGGTGGACTGGACACTCAACCAGAGAGAACTAGACATGTGGCTTAAAGTACAGGACGAAGGGTAAGAAGACCGATCTACCCCTGCTAATAAGCGGTTGTTCCAGATAAGCATTTAATGAATCCCCAAATGATGTGACATCCACAGTGGCTTGAGAAGCCAAGGATAGGGGTATTAAAATGCCCTGGACCCTTGCATTTAACTACACTTAAAAACCTTGTTTGGGGATAAGAACATTTTTTATCTCTATTGTCTAAAATATTAATCATTGCAATAGAGTGAGACCCCTACAACAGAATAAATACTCACATACAATTTTATTGAACATATTACTGTTTGATGTTACTGTTTTTTTTTTTGTTGAGTGTGTTATTATTTAAGGTTACTATATATATATATATATATATATATATATATATGATAGAATAATAATTTTAATATTAGCATAATTTTCAAGTTATAAATTGTTATATTTGAAAACATTGAAGCTAACAATGACAGACAATATTTATAGTAAAGGTAATTATAGAATACATTTCAAAAAAAATTTGAAATATTTTAAAATGTGTATTTATTGACAAGTATTTGATGAAAAATATGACTTAATAGAATATAAGTTCGGAGGTAGTATTTAAATCCAAATAAGTTCTCAAAAAAGTACGCAGACCAATTTTCCTTTGATAAAAATGTATTTTTGACAAATCTCAAGATTCGTATTTTGACAAAATCAAAACAATTTATGGATTTTTCCTAGGATAACTAAACAATGCTCGGTTGCATCCATTATTACTATCAAGCACCAGGAAATCAACAACATTACACTTTGTGGAATCATAATAGAATTGGATTGAGAGGAAGAGAAACTTTCCAATAATATTTGGCTACCCCCGACTCAATACTTTGTATTAATAAAAATATACGGTTCATCAAAAAAATTTGTATAAAGAGTCCAATCATGAATTAGAAAAAGAGTAATATTGCGAGTACTTAAAAAAGTAGACTTAATAATTACAACTATTAAATAAGTAGTGAGTCTCTATAAATAGTGGGACCCATAGTAAAATCAATAATTATAATTATCGATTTTAATTTTTAAACTCATATAGCATTGCTCTTTGAAAAAATATAACAAAATTAGAGAAAAATACATAAAAACCTATAAATCACATGAAGCATTCCAATCCCTTAGAGTAGCAAACAACGATATTCCTTTAAATTCTTTGATTATCGATGCCAAAAAAAAAAGCTAAAAAATAAATCCGGACCCATAATCCTTCTAACTTCTCATTACAATCTGTGAATATTTTTACATTTCTTTTCTTCCAAATAACAAAAAATGTAGCAAAGAACACACAATTCCAGAAAGTAACACATTTATCAAACCTCTCAAAACCTTTCAAATCTTCAATAAAAATGGATACTTATAACTTAGGAATCACCCAACTCATACCTGTCAAATTAAACAACTTATTTCACGAGAATATAGAAATAGGGCAAAGCAAAAATAAATGATCAATATTTTATGAAGCCCTTTTACACATCACACACCATAGTGGAGAAAGACAACTATACCGTCTTATTTTCTAAAATAAATCATTTGCATTAATCTTACCATGTGTCATTGTCCATGTAAACACTAGACACTTTAGAGGAAATTTTGGAGGAGATTGGTGGAAGGATCCCCCAACCCAATAACTCTCTCAACTAGAAAGTCGGGAGATTACTTCTTGTCAAAAACAATGATTAATCTCTCGTGCCTCTTTATTTGAGGTTCTCTTGGCTTCTCTCGTGCTTCATTGCAATAGTGATCAAAGAAATAATTTCTTGCAATCACAAGAGTAATTAGAGCCACAATAACAAACTCATGGTCAGAACTTAAAAAATGTGTCTCTAGAGGTTATGAACAATATAAGTACCTGAATGAAAAAAACTGATACCATGTTTCATTTGAGGCAAATCCTAACACTCCCAAATATTTCAGAACCTCCCAGTAGACATTACTTCCTGGTGTGTCATGGAAACCAAGATAGCTTTCCTGTTCATGGAGAAACCATAGGCAACAAAAGAAGTCTAGAAATTATCATCACATCACCAATGGAAGGAATTCAAACATTCCACCTGATTTACAATGTTTTTTCTACAATCAAACAGCATGAGCAAATTATTTACATTTTTTTATTTAATTTCTGCACTGCCTATCAATCAAAATAAAAACAATAAACATTTACACTCAGATTCAGACATTAGCCAATTAGTTCAACTGGCCACCCCACAAGCTAAGGACCATAACTGCTCTATAAGATGACATTTCAGTTCAAACAATGAATTTAAATTGTGAGTCTATACATGCTATGAAGACTTACATCTATAGAAAAGCCAGGTTAACAAGTTCGACACTGATCAGCACTGGGGTATTATTCTTTTTCGTTCTTTCTTCTAAGAAATTGTATAAACAGAGATACAGACCTATTTTGGAATACCTTACTATCCATTTTGAAGAATCAAGAGGTGCCCCAATCCCTGCCTCTTTGACAAGGCATCAGCAGTACAATTTGCCTGCATGTGTGCTGGGAGTTACTTCTGTATCTGTAATTCTCTTACCTCTTGGGCGATGGTACATAGAACCAGTTCATGAACATAGCAAAAATTCGAAACATTGGATCCCATCTTAAGTAACACAGCATCCAAAAAATAGCTGGGCTTGGGATTCCTTCTGTGTACAAGGAGTAATCCCAAATCCACAACTCGAGTTAATCACCTTAAACGAGACAATCTCTTCCGCTTCCGGTTCTTTTTACGTGCAGCAGCATTCTTTGTATTACCGTTTGAGCAGGAGGGCAAGGCCAGATGGCACTGTGGCTTACCCACAGATGTTCTGCTTTTCTTAGCAACCCACTTCAGGGGCATATTATTCACTATACTGCCAACGTTGTTTGAACTGTTCAGTTCAACAAGCTTCTGAATTTGATCAAGCATCTGGTGTGTCCAGGCCATTGATAGATCCAATGAAACTGAATCATCCCTTAGTTTTTTCCACATAGTCATTAAGATCTCTCTAAATGACCGAAATGACAAGGAAGGTTCATAGGCTTGAAGTTTTTCACAGATCATATTCACCTTTATGATATGTTTGCAGAGGTTTCCTTGCATCGACCACTCACAATCACAATGAGCAAATTCCGATCCAGGATTCCACACAAGATGTATTTGGTTGCAGTCATTCTGGCTTACAACCCTAGCAAAGAGGTGGTCCTTCCCATCCAAAGTAACAGCAGTATCAGGAATATGCAGGGCCCTATGCCATGACGTAGAAGCAATGTATTCATCCTTAACATTTTGGAAGGAATCACTTTCATCTGCATATCGGTCAAGCCAGTAGCTTGAGTGCAACTCAGTAGTCAACTTGTGCACCAGCCAGTCAACTCTCTGGAGTGCACCAAGGTGTGAGTCATCATATAGTTTGACTTTGAGCTTGACATGATAAGCTTCTATGGCACCAGATGCCTCCTGACTTGCAAGTGGAAGTGTTTTCATTGTTGTAAGCCACATTTCTGTAGGAACAAAAAACAAGAACAAAGTTAGAAACAAAAATTGTAAGCACGCGCACGTGTGAGGTGTGTGTGGGTGACAGAAAGCAACAGAGAGACATCTAACCAATCTTGGGCACCCAAGTGGCCTTGAAGTACTGTACAAAGGCAGTTTGATCAACAAAATCCTGGGTCAATTCTTCTAGAGCAACCACATAATTTACTCCACCCCAAATACTGTACACTACTTCTCCCAGCCGCTTAAATATCTCTCGCTGGACTTCAATGTTACTACATTTCTTGACAATATTCCTCAGCCACGATCGACGAACACGCCAGAGAGAAAATAGGACAGGGCAAGAAAATGTCTCTCTGAAAGGGCAGTAGTACATATAAATGAGTTGTACTGCGTCACAAGGCTAAGGGTAAGTTTAAACAGAAAAATCTAGAGCAAAAGCATCTTGCCTTATGGGATCAATCTCTGCAGCGGCATCATCAACTAAAAACCCATTGACCTTCCATCCAGGGTCAACAGCAATAACACGGCCTAGCAGAGCTTTCATCCAATTTGAAACATCTGGCTTGGCAATGCTACGAGTAATGATCCAAGCAACAGGAAGAGCATGTTGTCTAGAGTCGAACACAAGAAGCGTGCACAAGGGGTACTGCCATTCAAAAAGATTATGAAATAAAAATCATCTCCAGTAGGTTTCATAAGGCCTATGCAAACAAGGATTCATAGATTAAATACCTTCAGTCTCTTTATGCCAAATGTTGAATCAGTTGCTATGAGACTACGATGACCGAAACGAATCATTTGCTGTAACTGCCATTCAGTTTGGATACCCAAAATAAAAGGTTTTGTTTCTGAAGTATCCTGATAAAAGAAAATAGATTTCTTGTTGCGTTCAACCCACATTCGAATGCTAGCTTGATCATCCAGATCCAATTCATGGGTAGAACGTTTGATAATCATCCCCAGTTTTTGGACATACTGAGAAGCAAGGCTGTTGACTTTCGCATTAGAACCACAGTAACGCTGAATTCCTTCAATATGTTTCTCTAATACATTTTCCTCAGGAATACCAAGGTATATCATAGACATAGTTTGCTGTTGAATCTCACTGCATATGTATGGAATTTTTTTGGCACCAGGTCCAATCGCATCTCTGTCAAGTGGCCCATGGCAGACAAAACCAGATTTGTTTACATGACGCCTATCATTATATATAAGTAGTGCAAGAGATGGGCGGGCATAGAGACGCTTCACTACAAAATGGCATGTACAGCCCCTCATGGATTGAGGTCTTGCAGCACGGTTTCGAGTGTTAAGTCGATATCGTCTGCTTGGTAAAATACCCCCGCCTTCTCCGTAGTTTTCAGGACCAAAGGAACACCAGTACCTTCAGAAAGGAAAATAGGAAAGGATAAATCATGTGGCAACTTGATAAGTTACTTGAACAAAGCTGTTGCGAGCTAAATAACAAGCAACATATGATTCACAGTATTCTTTACATGTGAACCTTTTATAGTCTACCCTTTGAATAGCATAAGCATTGGCTTTTTAAACCTCAATAGTAACTTAAGTGAAACCCTATTCAGAGTATCACGAATATTTTGCCACTTATAAAATCATGTTCATATCGATAAGAACTTTTAAAATTCGAAAAAGTTGGAATGACAAAAATCAAAAAGAGCAACAAAGTTCAAAACAGTTCCCTAAATGGCTAAATATAATCAAAAGATTGGACAAACTAGACTACCTAATTGGTGTAAATATTTTTTTTTTGTGGATAAGTCATATTTGCTGTAAACAATTAACTCTCCTCAAGTAACATTTACATGGCAGGGGAACCTCATTTCCCTGATATAAAGGAGGAGCAAGAAGGATATGAAAGACTAAGCAAACCGAAAAACTTACAGCCTGTATTCCAGATATTCATCATTCTTGTATTCTTTTAAACTGCCCTTTGATCGTTTCCTTCCCCTCTCAATATGGAACCGTGTTGGGCATTCTATTTTAGAACACTCTCCAATTATAAATGCATCAACTCGGGCATAAGGAATAAGGGCTACATCATCATGACGCTCTGCACTTCCAAATTTGGTCCAATTCAAATCAGCAGAAGAGAACTCCTCCTCAGATGGATTTTGCACAGGTATATTGACGATAGATTCAATGATATCCATATGTTGTAAAACAGCTATCAGAGTATCTGCTAATTGGTAGAATTCTTGATCCAGCCACACATTCACCACCACTAACTGCTTCATGTTGCAAAGATCAGTTGAAGAACATATATAAGTCATAAATCGAAAATTAGTAACCAATCATATTGTCTGATTATTATCAGGTCTAAGACTCATGAAATTTGCCATATATTTCATATCAGAACCACCAGGAGAAATGACTTATGGATGTAAAGTAGAACAATCATTATTGGTCAGGCAAAGAGAAGTAAAATGGTGAGGGAAGTATCATGCTCAGCAATCATACATTTACGGAAGAGATAATAGAAGACCAAGAAAATTTTGGAATTGTAGCCCTATTCATTTAGCATCCATTCTAACTTGTTCATATCCCCCTAAAAACTATGTGACAGATCATGCACGTTTAACTGACAGTAATTACAGAACCAAATATTTTAACAATATCATGTCATAAACCTGGTGGGAGCTAGTCCTCAAATTTTCTTCTCTTTGAACAAGTATTTCCTGTGTCCCAAAGTCTCGCTTTGAATTTAGATGTATGACCTACTCATTGGTGCTCAAATTGATATCAGTAACTTGAGCCTATTTAGCAGCTTCATATAAAAATGCAGTAATGTTCATTTCCTTGGAGTTTCTAGGGCTTTAGGAAAGGAAACTAAGTCCTCGTTTCCTATTCGAGAGAGTTGTAAATGTGTATGAGGCACATATGGATTTTTTAGGGTTGTATGATGCCTACAAATAGCTCTGTAGATACAAAATGAGACCAGCCTCAAAGAGATGGAAAAAAAATTCGCAATTAAATCAAGCACTTAACTTGTGATCCCTTTCCTTCGCACCGCCTCTTGTCTTTCTCATCTTTGTCTCATTTCTTTTATTTTCCTCACACAAAACCTCGTCAAAGTCCTCTCCTCTCCCTCAGTCTTTTCACTCTTCAACACTTCCTCTGCTTTATCCTGTTTCCATATCTCTTAAATTCCTCTTTTCTTATTACAATTTTTATTGTATTAAAAGGACACGGTAGGAAATTACATAGACAGACTTGAAGGGAGGAAAATAATAGGATAATGTGGAGATCTTCTCGATCTCCAAGCACCATAAAAATTCAAGGCTCTGCAACAAGATGAGAATGGTGTATCTAAAAAGGTGGTCTTCAGATTGACAAAAGTTCATAAGCGGTAATTCATAACCAATTGTTTGAGGAATAGGAGGAAATTTAAGGAATTATTGTGCACCTTTTTTGTTTTGTATGTTCTAAATTTCTAATGGTTTTAGGAAGAAAATACAAAATATAGATCATACCAGACCAATATAGATTAGAACAAAGTTTTGTGCCATTCTTCTTGGGTTGTTGAGTTTTGTAATCACTTTCCTTTTTTAATTTTCTTCTATCTTATGTTTACAAATCACCAGAATCTTGAAGACAAAATCGCAACACATTCAATCCATTTTTTTAAAAAAAGGAAGAAAGATTATTTACGTACTACTAAATTACAAACAATATAATTTCAATCAGCTGTTTACCTAACATCCAACAAAATCTTACACAAACACAAAAGTACGCACACACAAATAAGTAAAACAAAAATAAAAGAAAGACGAGAAAAGCAAAACACTATAACTATACCATTTCAATTTTCTCATCTTATTTATTGAAGGCTAATTTTTTCCATAGACAATGCCTCTAGCACCTCATCTCATGATTTGGTTCTGTTTAGGACTCCCTTGCCATGGTATTCGTGGTCAACACCATATCACTACTTCCTAGTGCAAATTTGGTCTACGGTGCATATGCCAGACCTGCCTTAGACCAACCAAAATTACATTCCAGCTGCTCATCAGTAACTAATTTTTTTGCATAAAAACACCCAAATCTTACTTATGACACCCTCTCTAGTGTTACAAGCACAAGAACGTTGTAGACGAACACTTATCAATACAATCATATCATTGCATATGAAAAAACAGTTCGCTTCTGTCATAAATTAATTCTCTCTTAAATGCCAATCAAATATGAAATAAAAGAAAGGGAAATGATGCCCATGTGCATATGAAAAAACAGCCAAACATAACATACCTGAGGCAAAATAAGCCTAAAAGTATAATACCCTGATCAAACTACATTGCCAATAGTGAAATTTTCGTGCTTGGCAAGGAAGAAAGAAGAAACCAGAACACAAAAACCAATATTCGTTTTCTTCCTTTTTTCCGAAGCCTGTAAACCAGGCAGAGCCTCATACCCACTCAATCCTCTGGTGGAGGGTTGTCCCTCAAAATGAACCTAAAGGATTGAATCTATTCGTGCGTATGATCAATACCAGAAGAAAACTTGGAAATTTATATTGGCTATCTCACAAAATCAGGGAAAAACAAAACACACATACAGGTGTCAGAACAGCCACACAAACACACAGAGGAGCAACTAACCGGAGCTGGATGTCGACCATAACATGAAGCAAGGAGCCTGTGATGCTTCCCACACACACACGAGAGAGAGAGAGAGAGAGAGAGGGGGGTTTATGAGGATAGGATGAAAAGGGTTCTTTCTCACTTCTGAAATGCCAATGGCCTGAAACGGAAGAAGTAGAAATTTGGCTATCCTGAGGATTAAACCTTAGGATTGAGGTTTAGGGTTTTTGACATTCTATTAGAATTAGAAGAGATTTAAATAAAGAAATATTATAAGATTTAAATATAAGAAGGCGAACAAAGTCATCTATTTATTTATTTGTTCAAATTTGCCCCCACAAAAAAACAGTTCGTAAATATTTGTGAATATTTTTACATTTTAGAAAATAAGTATAACTCTTTAATAAAATAAAAATCACACTCAAATTATTATCGGAGCTTTGTTCTTTTTAAGTTAAACTTCATTTACACTCTTTAGAGTTATCTATATATTAAATAACACTTTCTATATCTTTTGAAATTATACTAACACCCCTCAATGAGACCCCTCTACTATTCTAAACATCACTGATACCTCCTGCAATTAAACTACGATTTCCAACCCAAAAAAATGCTGTTAAACCACGATTTCTATGCCAAAAAAAATGCATCTAACATATCAACATTACCTCAACATAAATTTCAAATAATTTTTTTACATAAAATTCATTTTTGTAGATATTAAAATTCATTTAAGCTCAACTTGAGTCGCTAGCGCCGATTAAAATTTATTTTTCTATGTATTAAAATTTAAACCGATTAAAATTAGATTCAAACTAATTAATGTTTATTTTTTTATGTATTAAAATGTGAACCTATTTTGTTCATTCTTTTACGTATTAAAATTCGAACCGATTTAAGTTTAACCTGAGTTGCTAGCGCTAATTAAAATTCAATTCGAGTCGATTAAAATTTTTATTTATTAAAATACGTGTCAATTAAAATTTGATTCAAGTTGGTTAAAATTTCTCTTATTACGTATTAAAATTTGAATCGATTAAAATTTATATTTTTTTATGTATCAAAATCCAAGGCGATTAAAATTCAATGCTCGAATTTTAATACGTTAAAAAATATAATTTTTAAAATATATCATGGACAATTTCATAAAATTATATTATAGTTAATCCAATGAATCTGACAGGGAATACCAACGAAGATTTAGAAAATAAAAAAAAAATTCCACAAAATTTGGATATATTATAAACAAAAAAAAATTAACGAGGCTTTGTTACATCTTCATGCCTTAGTTTTGTCTTCACAGACTTAGTTTTTTTCAAATAGGTGGTCAAGTTATAAGCCGGTGCAATTGAAAGGTATATTCGGCATAAAATACAAAATTTAAGTCATGATTTTCACTTTTTAGCTTGTCAGAGACTGCGGTTAACGGCAAGGGGGGTGTCGTTGATTTAACAGTAAAATTTATAAGGGAGTGTAGTGAAATATCAAACGAAATAGGAGATGTCATTGAATATACAAATAACTATAGGGGATGTGAGTGAAGTTTACCCTTTTATTTATAAATATTAGGGTTAATTACATTTTGTTCCCAAAAAATTTTACATTGCATCCTCAAGCGAAGACTATAATCGATCATAAACACCCATGATCAATTATAAACTTTCGGTATCACTCTCACCCCTCAATGATCGATCATTTCTTTTAAAAATTATAACTTTTATATCAAATAAGTTGTAACTTAATATTAAAAAATTATAATTTTTAATACAGTACCGATACTACCGTAGCATTTCCCATTGGAGGTTACTAAAATGATGCGTGGTATGAGTAGACAAAATATAGACGTAGTAGGAAAATATGAAATATAATATATATAACCTTCTAAAAATGTCAAAGACTACGATACAAAATTACGACTCAATGGTATTAATTACAATTCAATGAAAAATATATATGATCCACAAAGGTAGGCTAAGACTCAATTAAGCCAATTTATGATTTAAAAAAATATAGATTGATACTAACCGTTTGTGGTCGATCTCTAACGATTTGATTGAATTTTAACGTCAAATCATAATTTTTATACACTAGCGAAAAGTGGCCTTTCGATATGATAATTTATCCCATTAGGTTTTTATGTCTAGTAAAATAAGGTGTAACTTAATTTTACCAAGAAAGAAGGAAAGAAAATGAGATTAATACTTCTACCTTTTGTCACATAAGAACATTTCTAACAAGGTTTTGTATTTTAACTATTTAAAAGTGTATTTTTTCTATTTTACCTATTCATTTTTTCAATACAAATTCTAATAGATTTTCTATATTTTAACTATTCGTTTTAAATATCATTTCTTATATCTTGTATTTTTGTTAGGACTATTAAAGGGAGGGACAGAGAGAGAGATAAAGAGTAGACAAGAGGTAAAAAATAACAAGAGGAGAGAGAATATATTATAAGTTATTTATACATAATGCTACAATTATACTCCTAAATATAGATCATCACTGTAGTAAAAATTTATTTTAATTATTCTGAACATCTTCAGTTGGAGCATGTTTTTGTCTTTGAATAGTTAAAATTTAGTTATTTTAGAGTTTTACTCTTTCTCTTAAAGATGCTCTAATTCTTTCAATCTCCTAACGCTCTCGTGCTTCACAAGCGAATTTGCACTCTGGGAGCAAATTCCTTACAAATTTGCACTCTCATTTTATAAAATTCTTGAATTCAATTTTTTAATTCGTGAATTCGACTAATTCGCACTGTTATTTTCTATTATGCTTACTTATTATTGTTCAAAAAATTATTTGAGAAGTATTGTCTCACGCTTAAAGATACGTATCAAATTAGAAAAAAAATTATAATTATTTAAACACTTTATAATCGACATATATTTAAAAATTAAAAAGTTTGTCTCATAGTCGTGTATGACATTTGAATTTTTTATATTGAACTTTTATACAAATGTGTGTTTGTATGAATCTTAATTTGACCGAAAATGAATTATAATTGGATCTTACTTTTTTTTTTTGCTTTTTTATTTTAAAAAGGGATGTGAGCGAATAAGAACGTTTAGAGACTGTCCCAATAGACCTCTACTGGTATGATCATGAGACCTCTAACCGTGTACGCTACTACTGTCAAAAAATAACTTAACTAGGTCAGCATTGTGGTCAACCAACGAATCTAAATATGGACTTCAAAACTCAAACTTCATCATCCTCAGAGTGAAAAGTTTGACCTTTACTCCACTAGACCACTCGTAATAACTTTGAAGACTACCAAACTTGGGAGCATAACCTTTCTATTCCCAACTAGCACTAGTGGAATATACATATACCAACAGAAATTTATTTTAAAAGAAAAAAGCAAAAGAAGAGCTATGCATGGATCTTTTTTCTTCCATCCTAAACCCAATCAAGTCATATCATTGCAAACAAATTCAAGATTTAGTTCATTAGTCTCACATATTAAGCTTAGTTTGGTACAAGCAATTTACTTTAACAACTAGGCTTGCAAAGCTGCATCTGATCCAATAGTTTGGGTCACAAGAGAAGATACATAAAACAAAAACAAAACAAACCAACCTCCCACCGACATCAGCATGGAATCGATTTAAAACAAGTAAATATTAAATACATCGATGATATTGTGTCTCATTAATACATAATATCAACATCTAATTATAAATCTCAACATAATACAATAAGAGTGTGTTTAGATTAATTTAAAAAAATATATTTTTTTAACTTTTGACTTATTATAAATACTTTTAAAAAAAGTAGTATTTGAGATTATTTATTAAAAATAATTTTAAAAAAATTAAAATCATTTTGTCACTTAAATAAATCTAAAATAAAATTTTTACTTATCCAAAATCACTTTCACCCATTCACTTTTAGCTTTACTTTTTTTTCTTCCTCACTATCGTAACTCTCTCCATAGTCCATACCTCTGTTGTGAACGAATGGCTTCTTCCACTTTGGCAATCATCGTCGCTGTCGATGGCGTCAGTGTATTCTTTCACTCGTTGATCGACAAAAACATTTACCTTTTCTCTCGCCAACTACCGACGACACTGGAGTAGCTTTCTCTCTCACCGTTCTTTGTTGTATCGCTAATCTAACCAGATCCTTTCAAATGAGAGACAATATCCTCCTATTAACTACTTTTATGGCATCTTTTACAGCTATTTGTTTTGATTTGTTGTGGGTTAGTATATTTTGGTTTGTGAATATTTTTTTTATGATAAAAGATGGGAGATCTTTGAAAGTTTTTAGGGAAAATGTTTTTATTTGATCCATGATTATTACAGGAGTTGATTGCACATTAGATCTATGAGAAGTATAGGGCCTGTTTGGTTTGCGTTTCAAAAAATAGTATCCGAAAACAGTTTTTGAGAAGAGTTTTAAGAAAGTGGTTTTAATTTTTT